CTTGCAAGTCTACTATCCTCTTATTAAACTTCTCTCAGAGCTGCAGCTGACTTTCTAGTCGTTATTCTGGAACTCGGCCTACAACACACACACCTCAGCCCCATTTAACAGATGAGCAAACTGAGGCACTTGCTCACACAGCCCCCTGCAACCTCCCCAGCAGCGAATGTCCAGCTGCTGCCTGCACAGCTGTCAGGCAGGAGACCTTCCCTGGGGCAGCTCAGCCTGGCGGCTCTGCCTCAGTTTCCCCATCCACCTGTTCCACCATAAAGCCAGGCTCCTGAGGAGTATCTGGCCCAGGGTATGGAAACCTGTGGGACAGGGACAGCAGGAAGCCCAGGCCACGCAGGCTGCCTGAAAATCCAGCTGAGGTCAGGTGGGGACGGGTGTCCTAACTCAACACTCCCACCTGGACAACACCATACCTGGGCGCTGGAGGACGAGATCGCGGACCCGCGCCGCGCTGGTAAGCTGTCCTGCGGCGCCACCTAGTGGCTGAAAAGGCCGCCTGGCCCTGCCGGATTCACAGATTGCTTCTCTGGAGACTGAGTGGGGAGCGCCCCTGCCAACGGTCCTTGGAGCCCCAAGAATGCATCGAGATCCCATCTCCCAGGACATTGTTGTTTTTATGTGCCATGGGGTCGGACCCGACTCATAGAGACCCCTCCTTGGGTTTCTGAGGCGGTATCCCTACGATTCCCAATCTTCCTTCCGAGGAGTGCCCGGTGGGTTTGAACCTCCAGCCTTCTGATCAGCAGTCAAGTGCTTTAGGCACTATGCTACCAGAGCTCCCTTTTAAAGACCAGGTTCTGAAATATTATTAGTTCAAAGTATACACACACACACACACACGTTGTTGTTATGTGCCGTCAAGTCGGACCCAACTCATACGACCCCCGTTGGGTTTCCAAGGCAGTATCACTACAGAAGTAGATTGCCCAACCTTCCTGCGGAGGAGTGGCTGGTAAGTTTGAACCACCAGCCTTCTGGTTAGCAGTCAAGTGCCTTAGGCACTACACTACCAGAGCTCCCTCCCAGGGCATAGGAGTACAAATAATTTCTCCAGCCTGGGGCCGTGTGCTGATCAGCCAGATGGGGGGCGGGGGTTACCACAGAGAGAGGGTCCATCACCTTCTTGAGGGACAGAGGCCCACGGTCTGTCCCCCAATCCCAGACATCTCCACTCTGCAGCCACTGGCATGCCAAGCTCAGCCTTCATCCATTCAACTCGTGCATTTATGGAGCGCTTACTGTATACCACACTCTGCTCCAGATGGTGGGGGAGTTACAAGGAACAGAACGACTCCTGCTCTGCAGAGCTTACTCTGGGGTGTGGGTGCAGAAAGAGACAATAAGCAAGAAATAAAAGAAATAAGAAAGTGATCTGGTTGCTTTAGAAAGAAGAAATCACACATCTAACCAGTGTCTCTCTCCAGGGCCCCCCACAGCCCTCCAGGCAAAACCATGGAGCCTGAGACCCCCGCAGGCCACCCTCATGGCATCCCCCTATTCTCCTCTGGGACCACTCTAGAAGACAGGCCTTCGGTATGGGGTCCTCTGCCTGGGACACCTCACACACACCTCCCTAGTCCCCCCCCACCCTGCACAGTCAGCTCTTCCTCCTCCTCTGAGGCCTCCGTGGCCCAAAGGGCCTTGACACAGCACCGCTACCCACAGCGGACTCACAGCAGAGCAACTCTCAGAACAGGCTGCTTGTCTTGATTCCCAGCTCTGGCAATGCCTCTGTGACGTTCCTAAGTTCCTTGGCTTCTCTGTGCCTCTGCTTCCTCATCTATAAGGCTGCTAACCAGAAGGTTGGTAGTTCGAACCCACACATTGCTTTACCAGAGAGAGATGAGGCAGTCTGCTTCCATAAGGATTTACAGTCTTGGAAACTCTAAAGGGCAGTTCTCCTCTGTCCTACAGGGTCACTATGAGTCAGAATCAACTCAGTGCCAGTGGGTTTGGTTTTAAAATGGGGAAAACAATAGTTCCTACCTCAGGCCTCATGGGGGCATTAAATGAGTTAACAAATGTTAACTTAGAACTAGACTTTGCTATTGTTTTTGTGGTTATTATTAGTACCTGTTTAAGATGTCTGTATCCAGGACTAGCTGGTGAAGGTCAGACACCCACTGCCTTTGAGTGGATTCCAACTCATAGCAACCTTATAGGACAGAGTAGAACTGTCCCTATCGGGTTTCCAAGGCTGTATATCTTATGGAAGCAGACTGACTCATCTTTCTTCCTGCTGAGCAGCTGGTGGGTTCAAACCACCGACCTTTTGGTTAGTAGTCAAGTGCTTAACCATTGTACCACTAGGGATCCTGAAGATTAGATGGGGAGGTCCATTTGGGAAAGTACCAGCTGAGTCACCCCATATCCCACATTCTGTGGTGTCCCGAACAAGTTTGCTCAATGAAATGAGTCATTTCGCTTCACCATTCACCATCCATGTATTGAATGCCTCATGCATGCGAGCGTGCCAGGTACTGGGCTAGGAGCTGCAGGTGGACCAGTACACAAATCTGGGTCCCTCCGCACCACAAGAGTTACCTCTAGGCCAGAGGCTCTCAAACCTTCTGGTCTCAGAACCCCTTTAAATTCTCAAAAAGTGAGGATTCCAAAGAGTTTTTGGACTGGGAGTCATCCTATAATACTTACCATATTAGAAATAAAAATTGAGAAAATGCTTAAATATTAATCTATTTAAAATACTAGCAAACCCAATGCATGTTAATATACATATTTTTATGAAAAATACCTGTACATAGACCAGGAGGCTGTCGTTCGAACAGAACAAGGGGGATACTGCATGGTTCAAAATCAGGAAGGGAG